TGTGCGTGTGAGAGAGAGAGTATGTGTGTGCGTGCATGTGTGTGTGTGTGTGTGTGTGTGTGTGTGTGTGTGTCTGTGCCGGCCTTTCGACGCGCGCGCGCGCCCGCCTCTCGGGCTTCGTTACGCCCTGTCGCTGCGCGGAGGGCCGCGATACCAAAAAAAATGTTGTGTGTGTGTATGTGTGCGTTTGTAAGGTCTCTGTGTGTGCGACGCTGGAACTCACTGGCTCGTCCGCGTCACGCCGCGCCGCGCCGAGCGACGCACAGCTCATTCTCCGGACCCGTCCACGGGACACTACCGCTCGGCGTCACCCCAACATACTCATACTACATGTGCGTCGCCCCCCCCCCCAAGGGGCGACGCGCGCACCGAGAAATCTTCTAGTATATGCATCGTTCTGGGTGCTTTCTGGCCGCACCGCTCGGGAAGCGTACCACTACAAGATGGTAAGACTGTATGTTCGGGTCCGACGCGCGCCTCCGAGGAGGACGTCTAGTACCAGTATGTGCTTGTGCGTCGCACGCCGCCGCTGTTTCCGGTGGGCGAGTGCGAGGCCGATCGCGGCGATCACGCGGCGATCCCGAGATGCCGCGGGCCCCGGCGACGGTCGCAGAATGTGCGGCCCCTGGGCGCCCTCGGGCCTGGGCGGCCGGGCTTGATGATCGGACGCGGAGCGCCGAGGAGGGGATCCAGAAGCAGCTGCTCTACCTGGAGACGGCGTCGGAGCCCAAGAAGAAGAGCGCGAAGGAGTGGCAGCAGCAGCGCGTCGACATCTTCAAGCAGTACGCCCGGAGGCACGGGGCGGAGCTGTAGGGTGAGGCCGCCGGTGCCAGTCCGCCACGCGAGCGTGCGCGTGTGTGCCGCGCGGGGGGGCGTTGCTCCTCGATCTTCTTGTTGGGGGTGGGGGCTTCGGCTGGAGAGGGGAGGGATGCGGCGGAATGGGGAGAGGAGGGAACGAACAAGGAGGGGAGGATGGAGCGGGAGGAGAGGGAGGGGGAGGGGAGGGAGGAGGGGAGGGGAGGGGAGGGATGGGGGGAGGGAGGGCGGGGGAGGTCATTACGACGACGATGATGATGCTGCTGCTGCTGCTGCTGCTGCTGCTGATGATGATGATGATGATGATGATGATGATGATGACGATGGGGAGGAGGAGGATGATGATGACGATGAGGATGAGGAGGAGGAGGAGGAGGACGATGATGACGATGAGGATGAGGAGGAGGACGATGATGATGATGAGGAGGAGGAGGAGGAGGGGGAGGAAGAGAGAGGATGACGACGAGAAGGATTCATATGAAGATGGTAGTGATGATCATGCGTGGGAACATGATGCTGGCTGGTTTGTGATCAGTATGAGCAGCTTGACAAGGATCATGCTACATAGGATGCTGCCGACGAAGCAGAGGAGGCGGCGGATAAGGATGAGGAGGTCTCTTAGGATGAGGATGTCGAGGACGAGGAGGTGGGACAGGCAAGGAGCAACTGCGACGGGGATGAAGGCGCGTATGCTTCCAGTCAAACTAGCAAGGTTGGGGCTTGCCATGTTGTTCGTGATTGCGATGGTGAGCATGACGATGGCGACGATGATGGTGGCGATGATGCAGCTGCTGATGATCATTACGAGGAGGAGGAGGATGAGGAGGAGGAGGAGACAACTGAAGGACCGCGGACGAGTCAATGGGAGGAAAGGAGGTGGTGAAGATACGCAGTATGTCATGACATGTACATGTGTGTCTGTATCGAAGGCGCCTACGGCGAATCACCGCCGTCCCCTGCCTTTTGGAAACGCCTATGTGGCCGAACGTTGTTGCCAGAGCTCGGCAAAAAGCTATCGGACTTGTGTTCCCCCAGCCGTTGCTGAAACCATTCGGGGAACACGTGGGGGAGCAATAAAAAGAGAAATCGAGGGAGAAACAGGAAGGAGGATGAGGAGGAGGAAGGGGAGGAGGAGGATGAGGAGGAGAAGGAGGAGGATGAGGAGGAGTAGAAGGAGGAGGAGGAGGATAAGGAGGGGAACAATAATGACATGAAGGAGGAGGCCTCTTGGGAGTGTCTTGGGGCACTCTGTGAGCCTCCTGAGGAGCTTCTCTGGAGGCTTCCTGGGGGCTCGCTTAGGCCTCTTAGGGGTCTTTGGAGGCTCCTTGGGAAGCTTTTTGGCCGTCTGATGGCGTTCTTGGCTTGTCTGACCCCGTCGGAAACCGTCCTCGGGGCCTCTCTGGGCCATGTTGGGGCGCTCTTGTGGCGCTTCAGGGCCGTGTTGGAGGCCATCTTGGGCGTCTTGGAGGTCTCCTGGGCCGTCTTGAGGCCCTCTTGGGGCCATCTTGAGAGCCTCTTGGACCATCAGGGGGCCATCTCTGAGGCCTCCTTGGCGATCTTGGGTCTATGTTGGTGCCCTCGGGGGCAGTCTTGGACCGTCGGGAAGCCGAACATGAGCAAACGCCAGAATCCTTGACAAAACAAAGGACAATCAATGAGTTCGACCTCTTTGGGCCTTCCTAGAGGTGCTCTGGGAGGTCTCTTGGGCCGTCTTGGGTGATCTTGAGGCCATCTTGGCTCATCTTGGGAGCGTCTCGGCCAGTCTTGGAGACATATTGGGGCGGCTCTCTTGGGGCCATCGTCGCCGTCTTGAGGCCCTCGGAGGGCCGTCTGAAGCAGACCGGCGACCTGGGAAGTTTACGGGTCCTTGTGGAGGCGAGTTTCCCGGTTTTCCCTTTCCTTCCACGTCCTTGAACGCCCTTTCAGGTGGCCGGCGGGTTGGGCCAACAGCTGCTTAATGTCTGGCACGCCGTGCACCACTGTGGCAATCCACAGGAGGCGGCGGATCGAAGACGCTTACGGCGAGTCACCACAGCCCCCCCAGCTTTTTTTCAGGATATGCCTAGGTGGCCAAATGTTTGGGCAAAGTTTGGCCACGCTATTGGGCCATGCGTTCCCCCAACCGTTGTGGGGGCCCTTCGGAGAACACGTTGGGGAGTAAGAGGAGGACGAGGAGAGGGAGGAAAAAGGAGGATGTGGAGAAGGATGAGGAAACCTCTTGGAAGCTTCTTGGGTCGTTCTCGGGGCCTCCTGGGAGCTTCCTGGGGGCCTCTTGGCTGGTCCTCTTGGGGGCCTTTGGGGGCTTCTTGGGCGCCTCTTTGGCCGTCTTACGGCGTTCCTGGCCGGTCTAACGCCGTCGGAAGCCGTCTTGGGAGCCTCTCTGGGCCGTCTCTGGGGCCGTCTTGGGGCGCCTTAGGGTCGTTTTCAAGGCCATCTTGGGCGTCTTGGAAGCCCTTTGGGCCGTCTTGGGGCCCCCCGTGGGGCCGTCTTGGAAGTCTCTTGGGCCGTCCTGGGGCCATCTTGAAGGCCTCTTGGGCGATCTTGGGGCAGTCTTGGGGGCCTCTTGGGCCGTCCTGTGCTGTCGGAAGGCCGTTTTGAAGCGAATGCCGAAATCCTTGCAACACCGAAGGACAATCAATGATTTTGGCCTCTTCGGGCTTTCCTGGAGGAACTCTTCGGGCCTCTTGGGCCGCCTTGGAGGCTTCTTGGGAGCCTCTCGGGCCGTCTTGGACCATCTGGAGGTCATCTTATGCCGTCTTGGGTCCATCTTGGGCCGTCTTGGAGACATCTTGCGGCCATCTTGGGTTCTCTTGGGGCCATCTTGCCATCTTGGAGGCCATCTTGGCCGTCGTGGAGACCATGCTTGGGCCGTCTGGATCGGGATGACCGACGACCCGGGAAATTTCGGCGGCCTTTCGGGTGGCCGGCGGGCTGGCCCGAAGCACCAGCGGGAGCTCTTCAGAAAGGAACCAACACCTTCCAGAAGTCTGGCACGCCGTGCATACCCGTGGAAAGCCAACAGGGGGCAGCGGATCAAAAACGCCTACGGCGAATCACCGCCGCCCCCTGCCTTTTAGGATACGCCTATGTGGCCAAATGTCGTGGCCAGGGCTCGGCCAAATTATCGGACTATCTCCTCCCCTAGCCGTTTTGTGGAGACCCTTCGGGGAACACGTGGAGGGAAAAAACGAAGCTGAGTAGTAATAGTACTACTGATAATAAGCATAGTAATGACATTAAGAACCATCGTACTAATCCAAACGGTAACAACACAATACTCATCATACGATTCATCATATCCATTGTCATACGAATCATAACAGGAGAGGGAGGACAAGGAGGATGAGGAAAAGGATGGGGAGTCCTCTTGGGAGCTTCTTGGGTCGTTCTCGGGGCCTCCTGGGAGCTTCCTAGGGGCTTCTTGGAGGCCTCTTGGGCGCTTCCTTGGGCCTCTGGGGGGCCTTTGGGGGCTTCTTGGACTTGCGGCGTTCCTGGCCCGTCTGACGCCGTCGGAAGCCGTCTTGGGAGCCTCTCTGGGCCGTCTCTGGGGCCCTCTCAGGGCGCTTCAGGGACGTCTTGGAGGCCACCTTGGGCGTCTTGGAGGCCTCTTGGGCCGTCTTGAGGCCCTCTGACCTTGATGATGATGATGATGATGATGATGATGATGATGATGATGATGATGATGATGATGATGATGATGATGATGATGATGATGATGATGATGATGATGATGCTGATGCTGATGATGATGCTGATGATGATGATGATGCTGATGATGATGATGATGATGATGATGGTGATGCTGATGCTCATGCTTATTCTGTCGATGATGATGATGATGTTGTGCTGCTGATCGATGATGATGATGATGATGATGATGATGATGCTGATGCTGATGCTGATGCTGATGCTGATGATGATGATGATGCTGATGATGATGATGCTGATGATGCTGATGCTGATGACGATGATGACGCTGATGATGCTGATAATGGTGATGATGCTGCTGCTGATGATGATGACGAGGACGGTGATGATGAGGATGGGGATGCGGATGAGGATGCTGATAATGAGTCTGATGATGCTGATGACGATGATGCTGCTGCTGATGATTAGGTAGTCGAAGATGAGATGGGGGATGAAGCTGAGAACGTGGATATAGATGGTGAGGGTTTTGATGAGGAGGGCGATGACGAACACGAGGAGGATTACCCTGCTCACATGTCGTACGCAATGTTAAGCTATGCCATGTCATGCTCTTTTGTCCAGTGCTGCGATCTGAGCTCAATGGAATTCGGTACACTGGTATGCGATACGATCCTGTGGTATTGACGGCATGACATGCTGTGTTATGCTATGCTGCTCCAGGCCGCACGAAGGTGGACATGGTTATGGTAACGCGATGCAGCGCTAGGAAACGTTATGCTATTGCTCGGCTATGCTCTGCCATGTGACTCAATGCTGTGAGTCGCCATGGCTTCCTCATAGGTGTGCTTCCAAGTGTACTCTTCCCCTCGGCCCATCTTTCCCCGCCTCCATCACTTCTCTCCGCTCGCTCTTTCGTTCCCTGCCTTTCGCCCTCCCGCTTACAAGCTCTTTCCCCCTCCCCATCTCCCCCCCTCGGCTTCTCCTTTTCCCGCCCTCTCTCCCCTCACTCCTTTTCCAAGCCGCGGCCCAGCTTTCGCGTCCTGCCTCGGCCATCGCAGCCGCCACACCTCGGCGGGAGAGCCCAGCCGTGTGAGGGAGCGTTCTTGCGCCTGCGTCTCTCGCGGGCCTCCGCGCTCCGGAGTGAGCTGGGGATCCCCCGCTGCTGGCGGGTTTGCGCGTGCCGTTCGCGGGCTCGCGAGCGCGCAGGTCAGCGGCGCACATAGACCTCGCGGATCGGTCGCGCCGATCCTCCGCTGCCGACAGCCCCTCTGCTCGTCTGCTGCTCCTTCCCGTGCTGCTCCTGCTATCTTTGCTGCCTGTCGCGCGCTCCCCTGCCTGCTTTCTCACCCTCCTTGCTCCCGCTCCTCACGCTACTCCCTGCCCCATGCTCTCCCGCTCGCTTCTCCTGCTTCTCCTTCCATGCTCCTCCTCCTCCTCCTCCTCCTCCTCCTCCTCCTCCTCCTCGTGGTTCTCTCGCGCCCCCTCCTCCTACTCCTCCTCCTCCTCCTCCTCCTCCTCCTCGTCCTCCTCCCTGCTCCTCCCTTCTCCTCCCTGCCCCTCCTCCTCCTCCTCCTCCGCCTCCTCCTCCCGGCTCCTCCTCCTCCTCCTCCTCCTCCGTTTCCTCCTCCTCCTTGTTGTCACCGCCCTCCTCCCCGTCGGGCCATCAGGGGGCGCGCTCCGCACGCGGCACGGACCAGACGGGGGAAGGGGTTGAAAGCGAGGGCAGGGCTGGAGGTGAAGGGACGGGGTGAGGACGAGGTGCGCCGAGCCTCATGCTGCTCATCGAGGCCCAGTCCAGGACAGCTTCGCAATCCCCCAGGCGGCCCCGAGGTCCTCCGGGCGGTGCTGCACCCCAGAAGAGAAACGACGACGGCGACGGGGACGGCGGCGACGACGCCGACGGCGGTGGCGACGCGATGGCGACGACGGAGGAAGGAGGATGAGTAGGAATGAGGAAGGAGGTTGGCTTCCCATAGAGGGAGGTCAAGGGGGGAGAGAATGACCACGGGGTGGAGTCGCCCATCAAAGGGTATTCGTGAGCCCCCCCAGATGTTCCATCCATCTGGGACATGCCCCCGACAGGGCGCAAGGAGGAAAGAGGAGGCGCAAAAAGCGGATGATGATGATGAGGAGCAGGAGGAGAATGATGATGAGGATGAGGATGAGGATGAGGATGGCAATGGTGATGATGATGTTGATGCTGATAATCATGATGATGCTGATGATTCATGATGGTGATGATGCTGATTATGATGATGAGGAGGATGATGATGAGGACGGTCATGATGAACACGAAGATGAAGACGACGACGATGAGGTTGCTTATGTTTATGATGATGGTGCTGATGTTCATGATGATGATGCTGATGATGATGGTGCCGATGATGATGATTATGATGATGACGACGATGACGATTCTGATTATGACTATAATGCTGACGCTGGTGATGCTGCTGATGATGGGGATAATGACGTTGACGCTGCTGCTCCTGATGGTGATGATACTCATGCTGCTGTTGCTGCTGCTGTTGTTTTTGATGTTGTTGTCATTGTTGTTTTGTATGTTATTGTGTTATTGTTGTTGCGGTTGTTGTTGTCCTTGTGGTTGTTGTTGTTGCTGGTGTTGTAGTGGTTGTTGTTGAAGTTTATGTTGCTGTTGTTGTTGTTATTGCTTCTGTTGATGTTGTTGATGAGGATGGCCATTATGATGACAGCGACGACGATGATGATCGTGTTGATGATGCTAGTGATGATTCTTATGCTGATTACGGTTATGCTGCTGCTGCAGTTGCTGTTGCTGTTGCTTGTGCTGTTGCTGTTGATGATGACGATGACGAGGTTGCTGATGACGATAATGATGATGATGCTGTTGCTGTTGATGATGATGCTGATGCGGATGATTATGCTGATGATGCTGATGCTGCTGATGATGATGACGATCTTGACGCTGATGCTGCTGATGATGATGGTGATGATGATGCCGAGGATGATGATGTGACTCATGATACGTTTGATGACGACGACGGTGATGATGACGATGATGATGATACTGATGATGATGATGCTGACGACGATGATGATGCTGATGATGATGATGACGCTGACGACGATGATGATGCTGATGATGATGCTGATGATGATGATGATGCTGACGACGATGATGATGCTGATGATGATGCTGATGCTGATGATGCTGTTGATTATTCTGATGATGATGCTGGTGCTGATGCTGATGTTGATGCTGATGCTGATGATGATGTTGCTGATGAGGATGAGCATCATGATGATGCTGATGCTGATGTTGATGCTCATGCTGATGATGATGCTGCTGATTCTGATGCTGCTGATGATGCTGATGATGCTGATGATGAGGATGACGCTGATGATGCTCATGAGTATGATGCTGATGCTGATGCTGCTGCTGTTGGTGATGATGAAGCTGCTCATGTTGATGATGATGATGATGATGCTGCTGCTGATGATGATGATAATAATGATGGTGGTGATGATGATGATGATGATGATGATGATGGTGATGATGATGATGATGATGCTGATGATAATGATGATTATGGTGGTGGTGGTGGTTGTGATGATGATGCTGCTGCTGATGATGACGATTATGTTGATGATGATGATGATGATGATGATGATGATGATGATGATGATGATGATGATGATGATGATGATGATGATGATGATGATGATGATGATGATGATGATGATGTCGAGGGCCTCCCCTCGCTGTGCCAGTGGGGCGGAGCGAGGGAGGCGGTGGTGGCCCGCCGGGAGGCTCGGCCCCGCCGCGGCGGCGCGCACGCCGCCCGGGGCAGCCCGGAGGTGCCGCCCCCCCGCCCACCCGCTCTGTTCCAGGGGCCGGGGGGGGGGGAGGAGGAGCAGGAAACGGAGGAGGAGGAGGAGGAAGAGGAGGAGGAAACGGAGGAGACGGAGGAGGAGGAGGAGGAGGAGGAGGAGATTTTAGATTGCGCATCTGATTCGCCTGGTGACGGTCAGAGAAAGAGCGGCGCTGCGGCTAGCAGACTTAAAAGGCTGCACGGGCACCAAGTGAACAAGTACAGTACAGTACCTCCATCCCACCACCCATGAGATGCACAAACCCACCCAGTCCCATAGTATTAACTGCGCCAGCGACTGGATGCGAGGCAGCAATGTGGCACTGGCAAGGCGCGGCCACTGTCGACTGGAGGCAATTGGCATGGACAGCTCCTGCGTCCGTACTAAAACTCGAATCTCGCACCAAGGCAAGGTATATCTCAGCACACAGTTCGGGCTTAACGCCGAGTGCAAGTCCCACCTCCAACACATCCTTAAACAACCCACCAACCTCCACTAGTCATTAAACGCCAGCTTGGCTGATTTTCAACCGTGGTCAGGAGAGAGCGTACGGAACAACAGAGGGGCGGTCCTGCCACGGTGTTCCCAACTTTCCCTGTCCGCCAGGGCTCGACTCTCTCTGATCACAGCATTGGAGAGGGAGGGCAAGGTGGGGAGAGAGGGCGGCTGCGTCTGACTCGCAGCAATCTCATTCGATCCGTTCGACTAGGTCTCATCTACCAACGGACCTAGTTGCGCCACTGCCAACTGTCTGAGCTGAAGAGACTGCACTCTCACCCTTCCCGACGACTCCAAACCTTGTCTGCAAGGCAACAGCAAGAAAGGCTGGCGGCAGGCGAGGGCTGCGGCGTGCAGCCGCATGAGCACCTGGCTGGCGGCCGCGCGGACTGACGGACACACGGGGGTTCGGTGCCACACGCAACGGGTGTGTGGTTAGCGACGGTCTACGCTCACCGAACCCCCTGCCGCTGCCCCCCACGGGCCAAGGCTTGAAGCTTGGCATTCGGTCGGTGACAGAAGCAAACCGGAGGGGAGAGGCGAGGAGTCGCTCGCTGCTACACTGCCGCGCCGCTCGCTCGCGCCGGGCGGCGGGGGCGGCGGGGCGGGCGTGCGGCGGCGGGGCGGCGGGGCACGCGCGCGCGCCCTGCTCTCTGCTCTCCCCACATCCGCTGCAGTCCTCTAAACCTCATCCTCCACTCCTCCAGGGGCGGCACGAGCCACAGCTGCGGCCTCGCCAGCAACTCCAGTCTGCCTGGCTCTCAGGACACTATACCGAAGCCTGTCACATCTCACGCCAGAGCCGAGCGGCTGACCAACTGACCCATGGGCATACTCCTCTTCCAGAGGGCGCATCTGGTCCTGGGTCTTAGGAGCCTGGAGGCGTTTGCCAATGGCGGCGGCCATCTGGGAGCAAGGGTGAAATAGATAGGGATCAACACGTACACACAGGCACGAGGGGAACTGCAGGCTCGAACGAGCGACCACATACGATATGGTCGGCAGCAGGCCTAAAGAGGCAAGCCGTGCAATGGTAACTGCAAGCTCATTTAACGGGAGGGGAAGTATCCCACGGAAAACTCCAACAAGGGGAAACTGGCAAAACCAACGTCAGCTTGCAAGAACCATAGCATCATCCACAGGCTGTCTCGGTATCACTGCTACGACAAAGTACTGGCAACGGGATGGTGGAGTAGGGGCAATCGAGCATGGGACAGCGAGGTGCACTGCCAAAATCAACAACCTCCCACCACCTCATCATCAACCTAAACCCATCCCAATCGGTATGCATCGAGCGACGTTAGACCTGGGGCATGTCCAAAATACCTGTTCCGAATCCAGGCTGGAATGTCCAGGGAGCGATGCGTTGAGCGAGCCGTTGACGGCGTCGCTCTCGAGCCTGTGCTCGGTTAGCCGCAATACGTGCACGCAACGCATCAGTCAACTCTACGGGCTGAGGGGGGAGCGGAGGGGGAAGAGAGGACGCGGTAGGCTCATGCATTGGCTCGGAGTCCCCTGGCTGAGGGGGTATGGTGCCATCGAGGAATGCCAGAGCGTCTGCGTATTCCTGCTCTTCCGAGGCCTCGATGGGCCCTGGGGGGCGGGCCTCGGCCTCGGGATCAAAAACAACTCCAGGCATGTGCTGAGAGGACGACTGCGGCTCAGGTGGCAGGAACCGATGTCGCTCGGGATCCGCTCGAGTCCGACTAGCACGCGTCGACACAAAATCTGGGGCCCAGGACTCGTCCGTACCGACGTACGGGTCCCATGAAACGTAAAAAGCTGCAAGCGACCCACGGAGCTCCTCCTCCTCTTCCCTCATGTCCTCTGGCCAATCATGCTCTGCACACGTCACACGCATATGATTGACTGCGTCCATTATGCTGTCTGCGAGAACTTGACATAGGGCCGGAGGATAGGTTTTCTTTTTGGCCGTACGCCACTCGTCACGTCGCCTGTCGAACCCCATGAGTACCTCGTGAGCCCCACGTCCGTGAGAACAACGTCCACGCCCAGGTGTCTCGCACAAGCGTCCGTGCATTGTGCCCATGCGCAGTGCAAGTATCCTTGTAGGTGCACGTGCAACCTGACCGTGCTCGCACTGATCAAAGTCGGTCACCGACGCTGCTGGAGATGCCATAACCGCCCGTAGGGGCGGGCAATAGAATGAACTGACCGAGTCGGGTCGCCAGTGCGCAGGCATAGGGTGTTCCATCCAGCATGAGGTACCGACGGTGAGATGCACGGCGAACAGTTCGATCATAGCCCCTAATAGTTCATTACCAACACGTAGCTGCTCCATTTGTCGGGGAGTGACGGCCAGCAAACCCCAGAAATCGGCATGGGACCGTAGGGGGGGAGGGCCTGCATCAGGGGGCCAACGGATAGCTGACCACGTCTCACAGGGTGGCCCGCCGCCTGACAAGACAACTCGCCTGGCTCGTATATGCCCCTTCCATACCTCCAGCGATTCGCGTCGCATCATGTTGCCTAGTACTGGGTCGATCGCTATATCGATAGATAAAACCGAGATGGTGAAGTCGGTATGATACTCGGTCCATTCGAGGCAGGCCTGGATGTCACCAGGCCGTCGTCGGCCACAGTACAGGTTGAGCACGAAATATTCCGACCGTCGGATAGCAATGGGCAAATCCTGAGCAGCAATGTCGGTAAACTGCTCGGTCAAGAACATTCGCGTCGGGTAGCGCTCGTGGTAGACCGGTGGTGGTTGGCCTGGCTCAGGGACATCTCCTTCGGCGGCCACAGCGGGCCGTGGTGGTGGCAGGAGTGTGGCACAAGCCTCTGGAGTGAGATACGGGTCACTTTCCAAAAGGGCTCGGCGGGCATCTTCCTGAGACACCAACGCGGCAAGGTCGGGCGCAATCTCGGTGATGGGGCCCGGCGTCCGAACTGTGGGTACGACAACGTGGCGACGAGGGATATGTACGTTGGTGGTATGTCCACGTGGTAGTATCGGTTGGGCAGGTAGCTGTAGGTGGTAGGCTGGATTGTCCATAGTCAGCACTGCAGCCAGCAAGCAGCGAGGCGAATCGATCGACAGATGATCCACTAGATGTGGTCGTGCATTGTACTTGAGCAGACATGTTTGACATGCCCCTGACGGGTTGGCATAGCCACGTGCAAGTGTAGTTAGTTGCCTATGTACACGAGCCACATGTGTGCGTAGCGCCCGATGCCGTGCAAAAGACTGCCCACACCAAGGGCAATCCATACTCTGTGCTGGGGTAGGTGGCGGCTGCTGTATAATACATCCACGTTCATCGGTGTATGCCCGGGGGGGCACTCCCGCAGGGCGTACTTCATCAAAGAACTGGGACTCCATGTGTGCTGCAAGTGTGTTGCGCGTCGTGTACTGTGTATGTGCATGCACTCCGATGCGAATGATGCGCTTCCAGGCGGGTAGGCTGCGTCGTATGAGGTCCTCCCACGGTTGTAGGTCCTCCTTGGGCGGGGGTAAATCCTGACACTGTCTAGTGGCAAGGCGCAACCACTCAAGATCCTGCAACCATTGTCCAAGGGTCGTGCGACGTCGTTTCATGTCGGTGTCGGCTGCATGCCACTCAGCTGCCACAACCGAAAAGGCCAGCAGGGGCCCTGTATGAAACAGTGAACCCAATAGCCGGAGTCGTGCAGCACGTAGTAGGATAGCAGGGGCCGGCCTGCGTAACCTGGCAAGCACCAGAGCGTCGGACACCTGAGACGCGTCCTCGCAATACCGAACACGGGCAGCTGCGCGATATACCTTCATAGTGGGCCAGCTTAGCTTCGGCGTCTGACAGTACGGGCCACGCGCCAGCGTTGTATAGTCGTCCGGACAGAACTAGACTATCTGCGAGCACGAGCCTATGGGCGAGGTCTAGTTCGTCCGTTGCAAAAACGCGGCGTCGAAGTACCTGTAGTGACGAGACAGTGGTAGCCGCGCGGTAGCGAATCTCGGGCGCCATAGCAGTGCCTGCATCGAATACGGAACCCAGATGCACATAGTTGTGTACGATCGGCGCACGAAGCGGTCCAAGTACGTCCGATACGCCACAAATGTGCCCATCATGCTCGTGCCACGCCGCATGCCGCGCACGCTTGGTACCGTGTCCACGCCACATGATGAGTGCTGCAGTTTTGGAGGGTCCGAGGTTCAAAATGTGTCCACACCGTGCAAACGCGTCTGAGACAATGACCAGGCAACTGGGCAGGGCCCCGTAAATCTGGTCAGCGGGCATAATGTGGATCACGGTGCCGTCGTCTGCATATGAGATTTCGACCAAAGGGAGCTCTGCGGGGGGCCTGTCATCGGGGCCCTCGGCGTTGAGTGCTGTGAGGGATCTCTGGGTGGCCCTCGGGAGCATGTAGGGATAACCAGCGGTCAGAAGCTTTTCACGCACCTCCTGCATACACTCAGCCATCTGTATCTCGAAGAGCACATCAGCGAGAGGTTGGCCGGGGAAGAAGGAGCGTTGAGGGAGCGAAACCTGTCCTGATCCTTCACACACGAACCAGGGTGCCTGATAGCACTGCTCGACCTGGGCGACGGTGTGAGGGTCGACGTCGGATCGGGTGAGAGCCGCAGCTCTCTGTCGGAGTCGGTCGGTTAGTTGCTGCATGGCAGAGGGCGGTAAGCCTGCTGCACGAACAATGGCGGCAACCGATATGTCGTCGAGGTCGGAATCGCGATGGGCACGCACCACGAGCTCACGAATGGCCCTGTAGAAGGCCTGTACGACGTCCAGAAAGAGAGCACCAAATGTTTGCCGTCTGATCTTGGCTAGTGACTGTGCAACTCGCAACACCAAAGACGCATGCGTGGTCCCTCGGCCTGGTAACCCACCGAACTGTGTTTCCCCCGCCTCAGAGGCCAAAAATGGTAGTAGTCGGGACCGAAGGCATCTGCGAGACGCCTTGCCGAGTTGTGACGAGACCAAAATGGACCTGGAACTGGAGCACTTCGTCGGGTCGGCTTGCCCAGACTTGATAAGGTCCCGATAAAATCCACCTTTCCATTGAATCGGCTCTACCAGTGTAAGGGCAAACTTGAGCTGTAGAGGGTAGTAGTATTCGGCGATCAATGTCGGGTGGGCCTTCAAGAGGCCGCCTGCAATGCCATCGCATCCTGGGGCAGACCGTCGCGCCTGTCGGCACGAGAACTGGAACTCGGCGAGGGTGGGTATAGCTGACAAGCTGACGGGCTCGGCAGACATGCGCGCATATGGGGTACGCCCAAAGTGTCCTGCGAACGTAGGCACGTCTGTAACGGGCAACGTAGCTGCGTGCTCGAGTCCTGCGAAGTGCTGCTGCCAACGCTGTGCAACCTGTCGTTCCGAGTCGATCGATTGACCTGCAAGATCCTGTAAAGCAGGAAGGACTCGCTCGAATCGACGTCTCTTAGACCCTGCACCGATCCGACGCAGCGCGGCATATGCCTCGGCAAACTGGCGTCGGTCCCAAGCTGTACGCACCCCTTTGGCAATGTTGGCACAGTGCCAAGCCGAGTCAAGTCCCGTGGATGTCTGTATGGCGTACGCGCCCCCCCGAAGAAAGACCAGATTGAGTGCCCAAAAGACTCCGGTCCACGCCAGGTAGAACCGCAACATCATATCCAGGTCATACCGTAGGTCCCTGGGGGCCTCAGCCAGCTCGTGCAACGTGGGAAGACGCCCAACGTAGCGCAAACCGACGACATGGTCGGTCGTAAACGGGGGTAGGCTGATTTTCCCGCTGGGCGACTGTAGTGGGACCATGAAAGCTTTCGTCGCATCCAGTACGCTGTCAGTCGCCTGCGCAATCCTACGGCAGCACTGTAGTAGAGGTAGGTGGGAGGGCCCGTCGCGATATGAGAACCTCCTGCAGTGTATTCTGTGACAGAACCATTCTCCCGCATAGCGTCCGAGGCCCAGGCCACAAAGGCAGTAGCAAGCAGCAGTCGCGACAAACTGGACCTTAGGTATCGTAGTGCACGACGGCCATGCATGCGCTGATCCATGAGGTCCAGAGAGCCCTGGGAGAGCCAGCTATGTTGTGGCGTGCGGCCGGACAATGACGCTTTAGGCGGGAAGGCTAACTCAGCCGCCGCAAGCAAGGCCGCATTCAAATGTGCAGCATGGTCGTCCGGGTGCATGGAGAAGGGGGGCTGGGGCACCATTTGTAGGGCCTGTGCAAAGGCCTGCTGACAGTCAGGGTCGTCATACTTCGATATGTCGTGTCGAGACCGTGGCCATAGCAAGGCAGGTTCGTACCGATCGGCATGGCATATACGCATGTAAGCTGTGACCACGAAGTGATCGTCCCGACGTAGTGACAAATCGAGATCGACATCGACACCCTGATGTACCACGCTGTTGATCTGTCCGATGGGGGTGGTAATGTAGTCGATGCGACGTCTAGGTGTTTGACCCTGGGCCCCAGGCGGTAACCATGTGCCGTGTACCCCAGAGTACGACGGCAAAAACGTAGATACTGCACACTGCTCGGTATCCCGAAGAAACTTATGGAAGCACATTCCATTGAAGTTTTCAACCTCGGGCGCCACATCACCCACTGAGTCTGACACTTGTGAGCCCACCGTGGCATTCGCATCAAGCAGGCAGTACAACGGCGCTGGCTGAGCCCGAGCAGAGAGAACTGACGCAACCTGATCCCACCATCCTCGAA